GGGGGGAGGTCGTCATGTGAGGACCTGGACTTTGAGCTGAATATAGCCTCCACCCTATGACCAGTGTGGCGTGGTGCTCGTGGAAACCACTGAAAGGGGGGCTGCTCTGCCCCCACCTCTAACTCTCTCTGCTTTCTCTCTCTCTCTCTCTCTCTCTCTCTGGTTTTGGATGCAATTTGGTTGTTGGGTTGCTAGGCAACTGAATAAATACTGGCGATGAAACTACTTTGTGGTAGTAATCGTCAGAAGGGGCTTCTGCCTGCCCGTCTCAAGGCTTCCTGACAGGAAAATCTAACGACGAACTGACACAAATTAACACAAATTATTTCTGTCTCTGCATAAACAGATCCGGCAGATTGAGCTTAGATTATCTTGAGCTGCTTTCCTCCCCAGTGGCTCGATAAGCTCTCTTCAGATCCATGTTTGTCTGAGTGCCCTGGCTTCACAGATCCTTACGTATCCGTGTACTTGGCCAGCGTTTAAACCTGGCCTTAATGAAGGCAGTAATTAAACTGTCAAGTAGCATGTTATGCAAACTTTTTTCCTGCCATCATTTGTACAGTTGTGTTTTTTCTTGGTACAGCACTTGTTTGTTTAACGCGTCGGTAATTGCTGGTGCCGTCTCGTCACGTTTCCGGGTGTCATGGCAGTGGGTGTGTCCGCAGACGCGGCCATCGGAGGGTGGAGATGTCAGCGCAGATCTTCCATGAATAGCCAGGAGATGGAGGCCTCGTCTTTGTGGTGTCCCCCCTCCAGGGCCTTCATCACTCCACCGCAAATGACGGCGATTAAGGATAGGTGGCGGTTCTGCTCTGCCTTAGTAGGAGTTCAAACAGAATTTTTTTTCCACTGGTTTCTGTTGTTTTTCTTAGACAGCAGAACTGGTCTGTTTGGTTGGAATAGGTTAGCGTGTGCTGGTTTTGGTTGCTAGTGCCCTCCCAGTAGATCTCCTGGTGAGTATTGCAGACTAGTTATGACCAGCAGAAACTGGATTCCAGTTAATGAGCTTTTCTGGTTTCAGCTAGTCTTGGGCAGTATCTAATTTTTCACCCTGACATACCATCCTGACTTTATACCAGCCAGGTTGCACCTGGTGCTTTCCGGCCTGCTTGCTGTGGGGTTTTGAGGGTCTATCTGAGAATGTCAAGGCGAGGTTTTGAGTTCACCCCCGAATTGTGCACCCTTTGTCCCCCCAGGCCCTGAGCCAGTGCAGTTGAGCACTGGGAAGAGACTGCAGGTGACCTGGGAGAAAATGAGCAAGTCCAAACACAACGGGCTGGATCCACAGGAGGTGACGCAGCAGTATGGCATTGACACGGTGCGCCTCTACATCCTGTATGCCGCCCCCCCTGAGCAGGACATCCTGTGGGACATCAAGAGTGAGCCGACCCTCCTTGACGTACCTCAAAAAGACACACCACACACCGATTAGGTCCCAGCACCTTCACCTCAAACACCAAGAACACAGTTTCGTTTGCCTATGCCGCCAGTTGGTGTGTGGCTCAGCGGGTTCGGATGCTGTGTCTGTAATCAGGTGGACGTTGGTTCAAATCCCGGGGACGGCAGAGTGATATCATCTCCAGTCTCTCCTGGGGCGGTCTGGCTCTCCTTTTACAAAAAAAAAATGCATGTCGGCTTGGATAAATTAGTCTGCTAAATAAATAAAATGTAATGTTAGATCTCTTACGCCATTGGCAGTCTCCCGTATCTATCAGTGGGGTACGGTGTGGCCAGGCTCTTACTTCCTTTTGGTGTCCTTGGCTTCTGTTGCGTCTCCGTTGCGTCCCTGTGATGTCATGACCCTCCTTGGTCAGCCTTCGTGTGCCGTCCCCTGTGCGCCCCTGACTCCGCTCCCTTCTCCAGCGGACGCCCTCCCCGGCGTGTTGCGCTGGCAGGCTCGTCTCTGGGGACTGGTGACCAAGCTGCGGGAGGCCCGGCAGGCTGGGGGCCCCCCCGACCCCACGCTGCTTAGCGCCAGGGAGCGTACGGAAGCCAGGAAGATCTGGGAGCAGAAGAACCTGACGGTCGCGGAGGTGGGTAGAGTGCACACCCCCTGGGCGCAAAGAACAGGATCCCAGTCCGTAGAGACAGGCTTTACCCTGCTGCCTGAAGTCCGACTGGATCCCAGTCAGAGACCACTTCCAACTCCTCTGTTTGCAGCCTCTTCCTCTGGCTGTATCTCCAAGCACTCGTCCGCCAAGTGCTGTTGCCAGGGGAATTTGCACCCCCAGATCTGGCCAGACTTACCGGGTGGAAAGTCACTGTCATCACCCCCCCCCCCGTCTTTCTCCCTCCGTCTCTCTCTCTCCCTCCATCCCTCGCTCCCTGTTCTCCTGCGCTCCTTCACTTTACCCAAAAGGAGCAGCTGGACTTTTCATAAGTGCCGTTTTCCTTCATTACAAACTGACCTTTAGTAATGCAGACTGGTTATATCCCAGTGAGTCTCTGGTCCCATTATTAACGGTTATCAATGCCAACAAGTGGCTCTAAGGGCCGTTTGCTTAATTATAGATCCTCTTGAAATGGTGGTATATGCCTCCCCAGACCTGTGACATTCTCACTGCAGGTCACAGGTCACTACACCGAAGACTTCCTCTTGAACACAGCCATCTCTCGCCTAATGGGCCTCACCAACATCCTCTCAGTAAGTGGAAACCAGGTTTCATCATGCATGTCGTTTCCAGTTGGGATCAGGAAGGGAATGAGAGTTGAGGTTTGGACCTGTTACTGGGTAGCATCTAAGGCAGAGGTTCTCAATTGGATTAGCCACATTATTCCTGTTATAGCCTGTTATAGACCCATTTCTAGTACAAAAGTCACAAACTCGGGGGAAGGGAGGGGTGGACACAGTAAAATATGTTGAGAAACACAGCTATACATTGAATAACACTAAGGTGTACGCAGGTATATATATGCATGTCATTTTCACTTTCTGTTGCTGTAAGAAAAGGTCTGACTTCGGTTGTCGGTCAGGCGCAGAGTAGGAAGAGGAAGAGCACACATAGCATACACACCACATATACGAGAAGGC